CAGGAATGGGCTACGGGAGCAGGAGCGGGCACGGTGACTGTCCGGGCTATCCCCACCCCTGGGCTTGCACCCAGGTTACCGCGTCACAGCTTATCTCAAGGAGGAAGTCCCAGGCGCCTTTGCTGTAACCAAGGCACAATGCACGCGTGTGTGCACAAACATGCACAGCCATGCACACGCACCCGTACACAGGCTCATGTACACACTCTCTCCAGCTGAACTGGAGAGAAGGGCTCCTGGGGCACTCGCAGAAAGCCCCAAGCAGAGGGGGGCGCTGGGATCAGTGCAGACCTCTGTGCTGGCCCGTGCTCCTGCATCCTGTGGCCTCTGCAGCTCCGGCAGGCCCGGGGCACATCCCCGTGTGGGGAGGGAGATGCTTCCCTCAGGCTGACGCTGTCCGTGCCCCCGGCAGGGCGTGAAGGAGTTCAAGTGTGAGGTGTGCGGGCGGGAGTTCACACTGCAGGCCAACATGAAGCGGCACATGCTCATCCACACCAGTGTCCGGCCCTACCAGTGCCACATCTGCTTCAAGACCTTCGTGCAGAAGCAGACGCTCAAGACGCACATGATTGTGCACTCGCCTGTCAAGCCCTTCAAGTGCAAGGTACGGGGCTGGCAGGTGGAGGCCCCACCGGGCACTCATGGGACCGGGCCTGACTTCCTGGGCCAGGTCACAGGCTGATTCAAGGAGCACAGGGTGGGGGTGTCTCCTCCAGCCCCTCACCCAGTGCTCAAGCCTGGCTGGCTGCCTCAGCCCCGGGGACCCAGAGCAGGACCCCGCAGGCTGCCAGGAAGCAGGGTTTGCTGCCTCCTGTCCTAAGCCAGGGCTGCTCGCCCCTCTGCTCCCCGAGCCCTGAAAGCTGACGCAGGGCAGGGCAGGGAGACCGCTGGAGAGCTGGCTGAAGTCTTGGTTGCTTGGAGGCGAGGGGATCATCGGGGAGTCCCGGGGCCTGTTTGGGCTGCTTCAGAAAGCCCAGCGCCTCAGCAGCTGCTGGCGGGCTGGGCCCCTGTGGAGGATGGGGCAGGGCGGTGGGGAAGGGGTTTTGCTGATGGCCAGAGTCTCATTCCAGGTCTGCGGGAAATCCTTCAACCGCATGTACAACCTGCTGGGCCACATGCACCTGCACGCCGGCAGCAAACCCTTCAAGTGTCCCTACTGCTCCAGCAAGTTCAACCTGAAGGGCAACCTGAGCCGGCACATGAAGGTCAAGCATGGGGTCATGGACATCAGCCTGGACAGTCAAGGTAGGAACAGGCTTGGATCGGGCCCGTGGCCAGAAGCCCCAGCTGGGTCCAGAGCCAGCGTTGGCATGACCCCCCTGCCATGCAAGGGTGCCCGGTAGCGTGTTGCTGGCTGGGCCCAAGGCTGCCCCAGCTGAGCTGTGCAGGGGGCTGCACGCGAGTGGGCCCTGGGGCCTGTGCTGTGACCCTGTGCATCCAGGCCTCTGCTCCCATCCCACATGTTTGTGCCAACATGCCAAGGGCTTGTGCATGATCCTCCCGCACCTGGGGCCAGCCCCTTCCCACATCATGCCTGGCAGCTGGCAATTGCTATCCCTTCCCCTGCTGCTCCAGGGCACCCTGCCCTGCCGAGCCATAGCTTGGCTGGACCACTCTGCAGAAGAAACCAGCAGGGAAAGTTAATGCTGCCCTGGGGCTGTGGTCACTGGCTGTTGGCCTGTACAGCCCAGCAGGATGGGGAGTTCACTCTACTGAGCTGCTGGTACGGTATGCCCCTGGTCCAGCATGCCTCCCTTCACTTGGGGTGGCTGGGAGAGCTGGGACAGGCTGGTCCCCACCCTGGGAGTGAAGCAGGCGCAAGTCTCTGGGAGCAGAGATCCTGGAGGAACGACGCACTGAAAAAGGTGCGTAGTTGCAGCGCCGTCCTCATGGCTGCATTGCTGCGGTTCCCATGCACTGCATTGCTCTACCCCTGCCAGGGCAGCGCAGCCAGGCTGAACCCAGCTGGACAGAGCCCTGGGCTGCCCTGCCGCAGGGACCAGCCAGCTTGCACACAGCACCCCTCACTGCACGGAGTCTGGCAAGCATGGGTAACCCAGGTGGATGCACCTGCTCCCAGGAAGACAGGGGGTAGCCGTAGCCTAGCCTGAAATCGCACATCTGCTCGCTCAACAAGCTGCTGCACTTGCTCCCCTGGAGCCCGTGGGCCCCTCTCCATGCACGGGCAGGTGCATCCCGGTCCCACCCCAGCTGGGCCCCGGTTCCCACATGGCAGGGGTCTGCCTAAGCCAAGGGACTCGGATGCCCCTTCTGTAGCAGGGAGGGACGGAGGTGGGGGTCAATTCCACCTGTCAGCCTGGCCCTTGTCCCTGCAGCTGGACTGGCTTGTCGCGTCCTGTCTTCCAGACCCCATGATGGAGCTGACGGGCACCGACACCGCCGAGCTGGACGGGCAGCAGGAGATGGAGGACTACGAGGAGGAGAGTGCCTACGACTACGGGGGGGTGGGGCGCGCCCCGGACGAGAGCGGCCTGACCGAGCAGGCCATGAAGGAAATGGCCTATTACAACATGCTGTAGCTGAGACGGGCAGGGCCGAGGCTGCGATGTGGAGAACCGGGAGCCGGCTGGGGAAGGAGCTCCTGGCACGCGGCGCCAGCCCGGAGTCCCAGCAGCGCCCGCTCCAGCCGAGCCCGGTGCACCAATGCTACCCGTGTGAAGGAGGAAACGGGGATGGCTCTGAGCCCCGCAGTGCCGGAGGAAGGAGGAGCAGCCGGAGGCAGCGCAGCCGCCCACAGAACTGACGCAGCGGGCCAACGGGTCTTGGCTGCTGCCCGGCTGGTGCAGCAGGGAGCCGGTCGGGCCAAGGCTCTGTGCCGTTGCCGGGCCATCCCCTCTCAGGGCCCTCCTTCACCGAGGGCAGCCACCGCTGGCCTGGGCAGCCGCGCCGCCTGCCCTCCCTGGAGCCCACGTGGCCAAGCCCCGGGGCACACTACTCCTGGGCACCGGCAGCAAAGGTGCCTGTGGCCGGAGAAGGTGCATCCAAGCAGCTCCAGGAGCAGCGTTAATCCTGTTCTACCTCCCGGCTCCCCTCGGGCGGAGGCTGCAGATGGCTCCGGAGGAGCCGGGGGTCCAGCCTGCCACCCGTCAGCCCAGCCCCGCCTCGCCAAGGCCCAGCTCTTGCTGCGGGCAGATGGAGGGGCACAAATGTGATGCTCTCTAAGGAAGGACAGCATGGCACATGCAAGGTCAAGTGAGCTACTTGCCCGGGAGCAGCCCTGGCCTGACCCAGCTCGTGGCTGGATTGTGAAGGTAATTTATTCCCCCCGCCACGAGCTCCGCCACGGGCGCTCCCCTCAGCCAAGGCTGCTCCCACCACCACTGTCCCTTGCAAGCCTGTGGAAGCCATGCGTGAGCAGAGCAGGCGGCTTGGGTACTCAGGGCTTCCTGCCCTGGCACAGGGCGACCAAAGAGAAGCGCTGCTGCTGCTCCCGAGTGAAGCCCTGGCCTGGCCCGTGTGCCACGGGCAGGCTGGGGTGGGTGAACCAAAGCTGCTGTAGCGCCACGGGCACTGCTACTTAGTGCCTGTGAAGGGGGACAGGGCACCATGCATCAGGAGCGGGACCCAGAGCTATGCCCTCCCCCCCAAGCTGCTGCCTCATGGGGATGACAGCCACACTCCCAGGGAAGCGTGGGGGTGAGTCCCAGCAGGACCCTCGGGCAGGGAGAGACCGGGACAGCCACAGGCTGCGAAGCTCTGGGCGCCCCTAGCTCCGAGGGCAGCAGCAGGGCCCAGTCCTGCCCTCCACCACCGCCCTTGCAAATCTCCCCTCCTGGGTGCAACCCAGGGCAGCCTCCATTCAGCCCTGCCCCTGGGCCTGAGCCAAGGAAGCCGTGTTTGCAGAGGCTCCCCGGAGGCAGCAGGAGTGGAGAGAAGCAGCTCTGACAGGGAGGAGCGAAACAGCGTGCCCGGGCCTAGGGGCTGCCCCACAACAGCCCGCACTGCTGCCGTGGGGGCTGGCTCCGGCCAGGGCAGGTGCTCTGCCTTTCAAGCCCAGGGGCAGCTCAGTACAGGCTTCCCCGCAGGTCCAGGTCCCTGCCAGCAGCTCTCCCTCCCCCTTCCCTGGAGCCCACAGCACCTTCAGGGCTTTTGGGCCCATGCTGGACAGCGGGGAGCCCTTACGGCTCCTGCACAGGCCATGGCCGGGAGCTGCAGCCAGGGCCCCCTTCCCTGGCGCTGCGGGGGAGGCCAGGCTGCCTGGGAAAGCAGCACAGCCCGGGTAGGGCCCAGCGGCACTGCCCTCCTCTCTGCCCAGAGTGCAACGGCCCTTCTTCCCCTACAAACTACCTCTGTCCCCGTTACCAAAAAGCAGCCGCTCTCGCCCGGCCCTGCGCCGGCCTCCTCACTCCTGCAGAGCAGGCAGTGCCTGCACCCACGGAGCCCCCGGCCGCACCCCTGCCCGGGCAGAGGAGAGCAGCGCTGGCGGGTGCGGCGCAGTGCGGTCATCCCCCCTCGTGCAAAGCCCTACTGTGTGTGACTCCCTGTTTGAAGAGTTGTTAGCAATAATTCTAAATAAAGGAATATTCTTTAGCCCGGCGCCCGCACTAGTGCTGAGCCACGGGGCATGGCCCACGGCCCAGCCCTGGGAGCCGCCACGAGGGGGCGGCAGCGCCACGGCACAGCACGGTTAACCCTCTGTTCTCTGCAGCCAGTGGGGTGTGTGAAGAGGTTTAATGGCTGCGTTAGGCACCAAGAGGTCAGGGGTTACATAAATTAGGGCCCGTGGGATGGGCAGGCTGCTCCCTCCTGCCTCCCATGTGCCGGTTAGGGACTGTTTAAAAACATACCGTAAGAAAACCAGTTACAAAAGTTGCCCCACCAGGCCCCATGCGCTGAGCGGTAGCCACTGCAGTGCTGTTCAGGTCGAGGTGCACCGCTGGGGCTGGGCCACCGCATGCCCCCTACCCCTAGAAAGGAGCCCCCACCCCGTCTACTGCTTGCCCAGGGCTTTGTCCAGGTTGCTCTTGATGGCGTCCAGGAAGTCACCGGTGTTCATATAGTGCTCGTTCAGCTTCACACTGCGAGGCAGAGGTGGAGGGTCAGGGCTGGGCGCGGGCACCAGCGCTGGCTTGCTGGGGCACATGCTGCTCTGGGCCCAGCTGGCAGCCACACGGCCCCCCTCCTCAAGCCAGAGGCTGCTTGCAGCAGGGCAGCTCTCGGGGGTCCTTGGGGAGGGGCTTGGCAAGCCCAGGAGAAGGCGGCCAAGCCCAGCTCCATGCGCTGTCCTGGCCAGCAGCCAGAGCAGCAGCATCAGTGGAGCCAAGGGCACCGCCCTAGACAAACCGGCCTTCAACCCCTCGCTGACACATCAGGCAGCTGAGGGCAGGGGGCCAACAGTGCGGCCTCGGCAGGCAATGGCTCCTCTTGCACCCAGGCTAGCCAGGGAAGCCCACTCGCTCCAGGACAAGGGGCTCACCCAGCGTGGGGGGACGAAGGGGCTGGGCATAGTGTCAGCACCGCTCCACCCCCAGCTGGCTCCGAGAGCATGTGCACAATGCAGCCTGCCCACCCTAAAGGCAGTGTCACCTACTCCCAGGAGATGCCCCTCCGTACCGGGAGCAGGAGACAGCAGCGGGGGGAGACTCAGCTCTGCAGGGAGCCAGGACCGGAGCATGCAAGGCCCAGCCCACCCTGCCCATACTCACTTGCTGAGGCCATGGATGCAGCCCGCGAGGTCCTTGGTCATCGCCCCGCTCTCCACAGTCTGGACACAGACCTTCTCCAGCGTCTGGGCAAACCTGGGGGTGCAGCAGGGTCAGGCCCCGCTCCCTGGCTGGCCAGGCCCAGCTGTGCGCACACTGCCAGGACCCAGTTTCTCCCACCCTCGTGCTGGCTGGTGCAAGCAGGAGCCCAGCCCTAGCCCTAGCCCTACCCTCATCAGATCATCTTGCTCTGGCCTCCCAATGCCCACGCGCGTCAGCTCCCAAGCCGAGCAGCCACGTGCCTTCACGCCAAGGGAGGGCAAAAGGGCAACGCGGGGCAAGCAGCCCAGCTTCTGGGCCAGCCGGTGGCTCTGCTTACTTGATCAGGTCCGGGTTGCTATCCAGCTTGCCTCTGTGCTCCAGGGCCCGTGTCCAGGCAAAGATGCTGGCAATGGGATTGGTGCTGGTGGGTCGTCCCTGCAAACAGAGCTACATGGTGCCACCAGCAACGGAAAACCCTCGGACCAGCCCCAGGTCCCACCATGGGGCATCACCAACCACTCCCTTCCCCACCTGCTGCAGCAGCTCTGGGCGAGGAGGCGCCCGTCTGCCTAGCATGGGGGCAAAACAAACAGCCCTTGGGGACCGGCCCTTTCCTCCCTCCAGGCCATAGCCAGGCACTGGAGCAGCAGGTGAGGGGGGCAGCGACTCACTTTCTGGTGCTCCCGGTAGTGGCGGGTGACGGTGCCATGTGCTGCCTCAGCCTCAACGGTCTTGCCGTCCGGGCAGACGAGGACCGAGGTCATCAGCCCCAGGGAGCCGAACCCTAGAGCAGGGAGCAGGCTGCGGTCAAGGCACGGGGGACTTGCTCATAAGTGGGGTGCCTTGACCCTGAGTGGGGTGCATACCCTGAGCTTCCCCCCTCAACTGACACCGCGGCAGTGCTGCCCCCCTCCCCCAGCACCTTGCGCTAGGATGTCCGATTGCACGTCCCCATCGTAGTTCTTGCAAGCCCAGACGAAGCCGCCTGCAGACTTCAGCACCTGGGCCACCATGTCGTCAATGAGCCGGTGCTCGTACCAGATCTTCAGCTTGTCGAAGTCTGTCTTATAGTGCCTGGGGGCAAGGGCAGGGGTCACCCGGGGGCAAGGGCAGCACCACCCTCCTTCCGGACAGGGGCTGGGAGACTGGCCACCCACACTCCGTGGCACTGATCTCGTCCTGCCAGGCAGGCCATGCCTGGTCTCGACCCCCTGTGAGGCAGGCTGCCCACAGGTGCCCCCCCAGTACTGCACCATGCTCATACTTCTCAAAGATCTCCTGGAAGATGTCCTTGAAGCGCCCGTCATAGGCCTTGAGGATGGTGTTCTTGGTGCTCATGTAGAGCGGCCACTTCTTGTTGATGGCGTACTGGAAGCAGCTGTGCGCGAAGCCGGAGATGGACTGCAGGGGACAGGCGGACGGACACAGGCTCAGTCAGGCCCCACACCCCTCCGCACACAGGCGCCAGCAGCTGGAGGAAGGTGCTCTGCCCGGCTGGGGAGCCGGGTCTTGAAGGGCAGCTGCATTGGCCCATCCCCAGGGCCAAGGCTGGGGGAAGGGTGTAGGCTCCCCATCACTGGCCTGAGCCAGGAGCAAGGAGCTTTACTAACTCTGCGCCTCACCCACAAGCCTGAGTCCAGCCAGGACAGTAGGGCCAGCCTGCCATCGCAACCCCCAGGCCAGCGCCTACGGGGCTCCTGGGGAGAAAGCCCCCAGCCACCCAGCACCGGGAGCTCCCCTGGCAGGCCCTGACCAGCCCTTCTCTGGCCCTCCGTGCCTGGCTCCCACGCGGCAGCCCTCACCTCGTCCGTGTTGTACATGCCCATGCCCACGCCGCCTCCAGGGAAGTTGTACACCTCCCACTCCTTCACACCACTGCCATCCTTCGGGGTGAACACCATCTTGAACGTCCCGGACTTGTCCACCACAAAGTCCGTGGCCTTGTACTGCAAAGCAGAGTCCCAGCCGTCACCCTGGCTGCACCCCTCTGTGCCCATGGCTCCCCCACAAGGATGGATGCCCCTGCCCAGGCTGTGTCCCCCGTGGGCACACCTGGTCACCGTGGGCGTGCCTGCCAATGGTGATGGGCTTGCTCCAGCCCGGGACCAGGCGGGGAATGTTGTTGCAGATGATGGGCTCCCGGAAGACGGTGCCGCCCAGGATGTTTCGGATCGTGCCGTTCGGGCTCTTCCACATCTTCTTCAGCTTGAACTCTGGGGAGTGGGAGTGCAGGTGGGTGAGATGCTCTGTGCCCCCTACCCACGAGGGCAGGGCACCCACCGGCCCCCTGCCAGCCCCAGCCCAGACCTAAGCACAGCACTGGAGTCTGCTCTGACCAGGGGGCCTGAGCCCAGACCCCGACCCCTTCCCGTCCCCACAGGCGAGTGCAGGGGTTCAGCCCTGCCACGCACTGGGACTGTGCAGCCCCGGGGCAGCGTCCACCTGGTGCTCGTGGCACTGAGGTTAGACCCCAAGTCACCGCCTCCCCCAAGGCGTGAATGAAGTGCCCTGCCCCGCGGGGGCAGAGGCCAGGGAGGGGGGGAGGTCCCCTAGCCACGCCACTCTGTCCCCGAGCCCCCGGCCCTCCACACCTTCCACTCTGGCCTCATCGGGCGTGATGGTGGCGCACTTCACGGCCACGCTGTACTTCTGTGTGGCCAAGGCCGAGTCGATGGTGACCTGGTCGCTCGTCTGGTCCCGGTTCGGCAGCCCCAGGTCAAAGTACTTCAGCTGCACGTTCACGTTGGGCAGGATCAGCTAGCGGGTGCCGAGGGGAGAGAGCTCAGAGTGGGGCAGGGACCCCCACGTGTCATCCCCCCCATGCCAGGGCTCCCCTTCTCCCTGCATCCAAGGGCAGGGCTGGAGCCACCGCCCAGCTGAGAAGCGGTGCCGGCACCACCCCACGCTGCAGCTCCCCCGCCAGGCGCTTTCGCTTTCGGG